TTAATTTGATTTTCGTGTTGCAGTGATAAACAGAAAATTTGTGGAGTTGTGCAGGAAATTGCATTTTAACATAACTTAAGGTCAGAAGTCCACAACAATTTTATAAACTAAATGCTGAAGTAATGTTAAAAACATCTGGCTCACAGTACAATTATTATTTCAATGGCTAATAAAATTGATTTTTAGGGCAGATTGGAATGGAATGTTGAGTTCAAGTTTTCCATTTTTCCGGATAAATATGATATCGCATCAATAAATACAATACACTGACTAATTAAGGAAAAACTCTCTACAGCTCAAATGTTACGGTTAATACAGCTTCAATTATTTCTCAAAAGTTTATTAACTTATTAGCTTCAATACAAATTAAGATATAAATTTAAAGCGATTATTTATTTCAGCGACTTAAAGCGATTCTAATAATTTTTTCTATTTTTATTTTATTTATTTTTTATCTCTTTTTTTAATAATTTTTTTTTTGTTTTTTTATTTTTTTATTTTTTATTTTATTTTTTTATTTTTTATTTTATTTATTTATTCATTTATTTATTTATATTAAAATTTTATTATTACTTTATTTACTTTTATATGAGTATTATGTTAGCATTGTCTTGTTATGCATTAATAAAAAAGTAGTATTAACGATAATGTATCAATTGAATATATGATGTCGATATGCGGCAATGGATGAAATAAGGATTCGCATCATTTCGAAAGTGGACAGCTAAATACACAGCAACCAAAGAAAGTTATCCAAAGCAACCAAAAACGAAACAGTCGATTTTTCAGGTTCTGGGATGTACTTAGTATAACACTTATCGACTACTTTAAAAACGAAAATTTTTTGTTGTTGTTGATATCTTATCTTATATAAGATCTTATATCTTATATTTTATATTTGATATGATATTATCTTATATATATAATTCTTCTGTACGTGTGTTGACAGTGAACTCCTCCTAAACGGCTGAACCGATTTTGATGAAATTTTTTGTGTGTGTTCAAGTGGATTCAAGGAAGGTTTAGATTCACAATTTGGCCCACTGGATAATGTCTTTTTGATTAATTTTTTATTTTTTGGTATCCATACACATTTATATTAGAAATTTAAAATTTATTCATGCTTACTTTGATTCGTTTAAAAAGTTTAAAATCTTTAAAATGAAACGTAAAACTGCCGTTGCATAGCTTAACTGCATTTAAATTCCGAAGCATAATTATAGCTAAGCCAATTTTTATTCTTAAGTTATGTGGTGCTATTCCTGGTAAATCCAGCGAATTCAAAAATTCAACAGGATAGTTGAACGATTCATTTTAGAGTTTAAACTTTTTAAACAAATCAAAGAAAGCATGAATAACTTTCAAATGTCTAATATAAATGTATATGGACACCAAAAAACTGTGTAATAATTAAAAAACCGTTATCCAGTGGACCAAATTGTGAATCTAAATTATCGTTGAATTCACTTAAACACACACAAAAAAAAAGAATTATATATATAAAGATATAAATAACGTACAAAAAATAATGCCACGTCTTCGTGGACGAGGAGGAAATATTGGTCGACGGAGTCGGATTTCACAATTACTCTAGAACCGGCGGTTAAATAGATCGGCAGAAAACAATGAAAATGTAAGAAACCAGGATACAATCACATGTGCTAATGAAAGTCAAGAGCAACGCAACGAACGCCAGGAAAATAAATTGCAAGGGGTAACAACGTTCGCTGGGTCAGCTAGTATCTTATATATCTATAAGATATCTTATATCTTATATTTGATATGAACAGTACTATCTTAACTATGTGGTAATTTATTACTATTATTGAGGTGTACTTAATAGATATTAGAAGAGACGTAGAACATATAAAGAAAAAAAGTGATATTTCATTAAGATAATGTATCGTCATATCGGCCGGTAGCTATAACGGCAAAATTGCACGAACTGAACTACAAATTGTTTTTTGCATTCACCGTTTCCGCCAGACGGGCCCTAGCAACTACTACCTATCCATATACCTTAAAAAAATGCTGCAGAAAAATAATTACTGTCGACATCAAATGTATATCCGATCGTTCTAAAGAATTAGAGAATTCGAATTAAAGAATATAAGAATTTTTAAATAAAGAATTTAATTTTTTTCTAAAGATAGATGTTATTTATATTATAAAGATAAATCTTTAAGATATCTTCAAGAGTATTAAAATGTTGAAAAGACTGCTGAAATGATTTTATTGCTCTTGAGAACACCATGTTGATAAATAAATTTGAATATAATCAAATAAATGCATTTTTGTAATTCAACTTTGGAACTTTTCATTCCCGAAACCGATATGTTATACTGTATATAAACGACTACATAAACGCGATAGACAATTGCGTTTTACTTCAACCCTATACGTAACTTTCAACACCACAGAAAATCCTAACAAAAGGCCATGTTGCAGTAAAAGCTTTTAATATTTATCAGGCGATATTAATTCTGTTGATCCTGAAATTATCCTGAAAAGATAAATATAAATAGAGAATTCGAATTAAAGAATATAAGAATTTTTAAATAAAGAATTTAATTTTTTTCTAAAGATAGATGTTATTTATATTATAAAGATAAATCTTTAAGATATCTTCAAGAGTATTAAAATGTTGAAAAGACTGCTGAAATGATTTTATTGCTCTTGAGAACACCATGTTGATAAATAAATTTGAATATAATCAAATAAATGCATTTTTGTAATTCAACTTTGGAACTTTTCATTCCCGAAACCGATATGTTATACTGTATATAATCGACTACATAAACGCGATAGACAATTGCGTTTTACTTCAACCCTATACGTAACTTTCAACACCACAGAAAATCCTAACTAAAGACCATGTTGCAATAAAAGCTTTTAATATTTATCAGGCGATATTAATTCTGTTGATCCTGAAATTATCCTGAAAAGATAAATATTCTTAAGCAAAATAATTAGATATAAAGCCTGCAGGTTCCATACCACAAACTTGGCAGAAGAGGAGCAATCTCTGTAGCAATCCTTGTAGCTTCGAAACCATATAATAGTTTAAAAATACATAATTCCTTCTCAATCATTCAAACAGAAGACAAGAAATAGAGGATACTACACTGAAACAGTCTACCAGGGCATTCGCAATCGAAATCGATTAAAGAATTCCATTAAATTGAATATAATTTATAAATTATTACAGGAGTTCAATACAGGAGAGTGTTGTAGGTTGAACTACATCCCTACAAAACTGGTAGCTTGCTCTAGAGAAACTTATTTTTCAGTAGTTTTGTAGGAAGGGAATGAGACGTAAAAGCACGTGTTGGGATATTTTGCGCTTACCCACGATTTCCCTAAATATACACATTATATTTTAGAAGTTTTATTTGTTACTAGCAGAATTATCTTAATTTTTAATTAAGTTAATTAATTTAATTATAATTAATTTATAATTAATTGCTTATTTAAGTTATAATTATTATTAATTTATTCTTCATTTTTAGAAATAGCATAATGACATAAATAGTAATTTAAAATTAAATAAAAATTAGAAAATATTAGTTTGTATTATTTAGTGTGCATCATTAATTGAGTAATGGTGTTACAATTTCAATTTCAATACAAATGGTTGCCACATAGAACAACAGACAGAGTTATTAATGACTCAAAGAAAATAGGTGTCAGCTATTGGAAAGAAAAAGTATATAATAGGATAAGAAACTGTCGTGGCATAGGTTTAGTTCTTAATGAACTGTTGCATAAAGAATGAAAGTGACATGTACAGAAAGTGTAAAGGTAAGAGAATTTAAAACACAAAAAATTAAAATAAAATTAACTAATAGAAAATCTATTACATGGAAAGAAAGTAAAAAGATAGAAAATCCAATATCAATACTAAATAAATAAAATAACAATTTATAAGTAAAAACCAAATAACATAACGTCGGGATATTAACTTGTAGCGTTTTAGTTTTCCAAATGGTTCGGCAATGAAATTATTTTGTATAGAAATTTATATCAAAGGAATAGCCGATTTGTGTCTAAACACATCTCCGACTACATAACCTTATCAGAATTAATATGTGTTATACTAATATGAATATGAATTTGAATCGAAATCTAAAGAAATTTCCAGTCGGTACACTGACATTTCAAGACCTGTTCTTCATATCAGGTGTTGATTAAATACACAAATCACACTAAAATTTTGTAAAATATTTTGAGATTATTACACAAAATTTGATATATTTGCTGTGTTAAGCAACAATGCAAGTAAATTAATTTAGTGAAAAGATATACGAGTCATTTTAAGGAAATCTTCAATGGAATGTTGTTTCACATAGTTACCAAATTGGATCGAATACCAGAAATCTACTCATGGCGTTGTCATCGGTGTATATAATCTTATCTCAACGATGACGTTAACGTTACTGCAATTAGAATTATAAATATAAAAAAATTCCATACAACATTTAACACTTGTATATTTTTTAATTTATTTTTTCTTTTCAATTTTTAATTTAATTTAATTTAATTTTCTTTTTGTTTTGTTTATTTTACGTTATTTTATGTTTTAAATATTTTGAGAAATATGCGCGCCAAATTATTGCAATCAAGTTCGACTTGAACAACGACACTTCAAACTAGGTTCGAAGCTCAGGTTGGAATACAACTTCTCGTCAGACTTAACTTGCACGTTTAACGGTTTTGTGGAATTAGTTTAAAACAAACTGGCGTGGCGCGATGACTGTAAACGGTTGGAGTAGTGAATTTAATATATAAAAAACTTAAATACTTTTAATAAAAATTATTTTTTAATAAAATATTTTTACATTTTTTTAAAAAAATATTAACTTTAATGTAGGAAATAAGTTACAATAGATAATTATTATTTATTAAAAAATAATATATCTCAAGAGCAATATCTATGTGTTGAAAACTTGTTTGCTCCAGCTTGAAAAATTACAAAAACGTGCTGCTCCTTAGAGAATCCGAAAGTGATGATATATTGTGTCTACTTTTACACTTGTTTATAAAAATTGATTAAAAAAAATTAACTACGAACGCGTAAAGTATCTTGTTACTAGACGACTTGATAGTCTGACCTAAAATAATTCGCTTTTTAAATTTAAATTAATTACAATTTATTAAACTTTTTTAGTAACGGATACTAGAAGATACACAGTTAAAAGTTATTGATGTGTATTAAATTTAACGGCAGTTGCAAGAGAAAAGTAAGTGAAAAAGTATCTGGTTCTCATCTGGTTCTTATCTGAGAATTGAAAAAAAAATAATAAAAAAGTGAAATTTTAAAAAAAATAATTCAATAGAAAGAAAAAATTTTAAAAATTGCTTAAACGCACTTTTTGATAACTCATTAGAGAAAGTAATTAAATAAAATTATATGTGAATATAAGCAATAATTTCTTACACAGTCAAATGCATATTTTTTTGAAAAAAATTATTATTTTGTTAGAAACAAAAATAGTGATATACCCTTTTTATAAAAAAACAAATAAATGTATATATTGTTGAATAATACAAAATAAACCCCTTTGAACTGTAATAATAATTCTTAATTTAATAAAATATATTCTTTCAGTCATATTTAATTTATTTAAATATTTGTATTGCAATTTTAATAAACACGTGAATATTTATATTCATATTATATAAGGTTTTTGAAGTAAATATTTTTTAAATAAGAAATATTTATAATAATGTAACAATATTTCAAATAAAAAATATTTATAATATGTGATATTTAAAATAAATAATATTTATAATAATGATATGAGATCTTGAATAAAAAATGTTTATAATATTGTGATATTTTAAATAAATAAAAATTATAATAATGTGATGATATTTTAAAAAAAAAATGTTTATAATAATGTGATATTTTAAATAAATAAAAATTATAATAGTGTGATAATGTTTTAAATAAAAAATATTTATAATATAATATTAATAAAATTAATAATAATAATGTAATATTTAAATTAATGTAGCAATATTTTAAATAAAAAATATTTATAATAATGTAATAATATTTTAAATAAAAAACATTCATTTCTCATAAAAAATGAGAAGTAAAAAATATTTTCAGTTATGTAAAAATTTATTTACGAATATAGGACAAATGGATATTTTTACATATTATATTTTACATATTTTACATATTATCTATTTTTACAAATAAAAACAAAACTACAATTTCGATTAATTTCAGAAAACTTTGCTTTTAGTTAAGTTTTAAAGTAAATTTATTAGGAAACCAGTTTAAAATTTGTGAAGTTTATTTTGCATTTGGTTCAAGAAAAATGAAGAAAATTGAAATAAATTTTTATTTTGATTTTATTTATTTAGATTATTTGGGAGCCAAAAAAAAATTACTACTCTCATTTATTAGTTGTATAAGTTTTTAAGCTATAGAAAATTGCAGTTGTTTGAAACAAGTTTCACAAAAATGTTAAGTTATTAGAAATATTTGCACATACCAATTATTTTTATACATACATAAAAACATAAGGTATTTTTAATATATTAATACAACTGATAATATACAAAAAATATTATATAAAATTATAATACAAAATATAATACACAAGATTTTATGCAGTCATCATCCAAATGCTTGATGCATTTATGACAATTAAAATATAATAATATAATAAAGGTATATTATAAATATTATATTATGTATAACAATATACAATATTATAAATAATATAAAAACTATAAAAATAAATATTTTAATACAAAAAATAAAGAAGAATTACTAATAACTAATATTAGTTTGTGATTATTTGAGACCGGCAAAATACATCATCATATTAGAAAAACAAAATGAAGTGCAATGAATTTTTAATCAGTGAGTTAGATCAAATAGAAAAATTAAGTAAATAAATTTAAAGTAATTAAGTCACCTTAAAAGAGCGCCATTGACTCTTTGCCTATATATTAAGAAAGAACAACAAGATTTGTATCGACAAATAAAAATAAAAAAAGAAATAACTAGATATATAGCAGAAGGTAAACAAACAGAAGATATACTTGAAGTAAAGCGAAATATCAAAGGGCAGTTTTAGAAAAAAATCCCCAATATCATCTACTACTGTAATCAGTTCATATACATATCAAAAGTAACGACAACTTCAACTTCTCACAAAATAAATGTTAAATACTTGAAAACTAAATAGTATTAATTAATTAAGATTACAATTTGACACTACAAAGTATATTTATTAAATTATTGCAATTTTTTTAAAATTTCATACAAAATCTATTTCTCTTGGAAGGAAATTATTACTAAGAAATTGTTTAGACCATTTTAACGACCTAACCCCAGTAATAATCAAAAACATATAGAAAATTATTCCCAAAATATTTTAACATTACTTTGGTAGATTTTTTTTCCAGTATTTTCTTTTATAAAAAAGTTTTCGTTTTTATATTATTTTAATTAATTGAATTTTTGGCTGACCATACAGCTGTTTTAAGTACTGGCTACTCATCATCAGTGGTCTTGGAAATAATTCTTGTATTTAATTATTCGTAAATAATTTTTTGACACTGCAAATACCCGGAATCAAATTCGTGCCCTGCCAAATTTAAAGCTAAGAGTCTGAAGTATTTTTTTTCTTAAATTTCAATTTTTTATTTTGTCAAGATTTTTCTTTTTTAAAATATTTATTCACTTTTATAAATTTGCAACCATGTAATTTTATAGCCATTGAAATTTTATTCAAATTGTATTATTAAATTTTGGCATCTGTTAAGATGACGTTACCAAGGTTATTGCTACCAATTTTACGCTTATTAAAAGTTTAAATTATTTTTATAAAAATTATATAACACAAAACAAATCAAATATCCAAGTAATAAAAATGTTGTAGGTGTTCATTTTTAAGACAGTAAACTTTAAACTTGAACCATGAAATAAAATGTATTTTGATGACATATAAATATAATTTGAGGACAAGTGAATTTAATTTTGTATCAAACTTTTAGTGAATACAAAAAATAATAAACTTAATACATAAAAGGAAGTTATCTTAATAAAAACATAATGTAATTAATTACATCAATTAATTATTAGTAATTATTATTCAGGAAATCGACCTTAGTAATTTCTTTGTACTTAGAGAAAGTTGCCAGAAGAAAATAATTAAACTAATTAAATAAAAACATAACTGTAAATGTTTATAAGTACAAATGTTATATAAAAACCAAGTTTTTTTATACGACATATTTTTATTTTAATTTATTTTTTATTTAAGGAAATAAAATAGTGTATACCAGCAGCAATTAAGAAGCAAAAAATTTGAATCTAAATATTGTGAACTATTTCTTAAGCCAATCTTACTTAACAGGCCCTGATAAATTAAGATTTGAAATACTTAAAGCTTACAAACTATTTCTTTAGCGAAGTTTTCATGGGAGGTTCTAATTTATTTCTGATCAAAGAAGATTCCAAAAAATTCGGGTACAAGCTCACAAACTGTTTCTTTAGCCAATCTTTCTAAAGAGGCTCTGTCTGATCAAAGTAGATTTCAAAAAATTTAAGGTCATAAGGTCATTAACTATTTTCTTAGCCAAGCTTTGATGGAAAGATTTGTTTTATTTCTGATCAAGGTTTAATAGGTTTAAAGTTCTATCTTCTATAGACTTCTTGAAGTCCCGATAAATGAGTTCAATTCATATGTTAGTTTAGTGACTTCTTTTTATAATAGAATTAGAAGGTTAGGAAGAAGGTACTAACTTCTTTTCTTATTAGAATTAGAAAAAAACACCCGGTACAGTAGTGTTGTTCTGTCACACACATGGTTTTGTAACCGGTTTTGACTCGGAGTATTCACGTAATAAGACTGATATCACTACGGAGTATCTAAACGAGCTTGTAGTTATCTTCATGTAGCGCATCCTTCTCATCTTATGTTTAACTGATCTATAAAGAAAAATGTTTATGCTAATTGGATGTCCAAATGATATAAATATTTTCAATGCATTGTAAAAAGACTAAGTTTAAGTACATAAGATTCTGTTACACTCCTAATTAGGAAAATCTCTTAAGAAACACTAGTAAAAACAAGCAGTAAAAATATGAAGATAAGTCGAGGGGTTCATCGATTTAATTTCACTGAATTATAGATCATATTTTTTTTAAACAAAATCTATTATTGTTATATAATTAAATAAATATATTCCAATCAAATGTAAACCAAATTCATTTAAATAAATTATAAGTAAAATAAAAAATGAAAAACAAAACGAATTGAGTAATTCGATTTTGCTTGTAAAATTAAACTATACTTGCGTGAAAAGATGATTTTTTTATTTGAATTTTTCCTATAATTAAAAAAATTGTGACTGATTTGAATGGAAATTGCATTCGTTATGCACGTTTAGCAGCTCAATTAATTGCAAAATAGAGCTTTAAACTTATTTTCTTAATTTTTTGCCTTTGTTAAAAATCTCATTAACTCAAGAAAAACAAATGAAAAATGCATTTTATTACAAAATGTTTGGGTTTTATTATTTTGTAATGCAATATTTTATCGCAGATATAATAGCTAAAAACAACAAATGAAAACACAAACGGCTGAGTTTAACACCACGAATCAGATAAATGAATCTACTGTTTATTATGGTTTTTTATTTGTATTTCACAGTAATAAACCGCAGTGAAAATATTGCAAAGATAATACCTGTAAATATTTGTTTTAATTGTGATTTTGAAGTTTTGAAGTTTTGAAGTTTAAACCGCTATTTTTCACATATGGCAATATTATTAACATCATGTCGCACTTACTATACGTTTTAGTATTTTGAAAATTCCTTATATACATAGGAATAAGTAATTTAAAGTATAGTTTTTACTAGGTGATTATAATCTAAAACAATTATTAATTTTTTTTTTTCAATAATATCGAGTATAATTTTGATTTTGTTCTCCGGGTTCTTTATAATTACACACCCTACTTTAACATATCCAAAGTAGTCCACTGCAAAAAGATACTTATAGCAATTCTTCAGATCAGACAATAAACTCTGATTTGTTTTAATACATGAGACACAAGCTGTCAGAATTTCTTGCTCTTAACCTTGATGAAGTTCAATTTAGCTTTAAGTCTACTTAACGATAAACATCGTATAATGTATATATAACTTGACCAACCTTTTGACCTCTGCATTTGCCTGATCCCTGATGAAGAAGAACAATCATAAAACT